GAGGGGCGCGGCGCGGCCCCCCCCCCCCCCGAGGGCCACCGGTCCCGCCACCTGCCTTGTCCACCCCTCCGACGGGGTGGAAATCTCCGGCTTGATCGGGAGAAGCCGAGTGACGTCCGCCAGACTCGGTGCACCGGGACGAGCGGAGCCCGAGCCGGGGCCGGAAGGAAGCGGCGCAGGGCACGTGAGTGGCGTGGCGAGCGGGAGGCTGTTATTCGGGTGTCCGGGAGGTGTTGAGCAGGGGGAGCAGCTGAAGCTGGTTCCCCTGTATGGGGTCCTACGGCATCTGATGGGTCACGGGGCTGACGTTCAACCCTTCCTTGGTTCACCAAGCTCCTACAGCAATGTATGATAAAAGTCGAGCTCAGGTCACAGCCTCCCCTCTCCCCGGGGAAATCACCGAGTCTCTGATTTCAGGTTTATTTTCTTTGACTTCAGGTCATGTCTCTGACTTGTCCAGGGTCTTGGCAGTTGTATCTCACAGTGCCGGGAACAGCAGGGGAGGCAATGCCGCACGAACCTTATAGTTCAATAGGCTGGCCGCGTGCAGCCCCAGGGCCGGCGGGAGAGGCAGGGATTTGGGCTCGTGTCTCTTGGGGGTGCTGGCCCGGAGCGTGGAGCGCTGCGGGTGCGCCCGCAGTTTTTTTCAAGGGGGTTGGCTGCAGCCGCAGCCCTGCGCGCTGTGCCTCGGCTTCCCAACCCTCGTGTCGGTCGAATCCAGCCGCGCGGGCGTTTACTGCGTGGTGGTTGTCCCTGCCTCCTAGATAAACGTGCTCTTTATGATTTCCTTCTGCTTTTGCCTAGATGCATCACTTGAGCTAATGCCAATCCTTCTCAGGATGTCCATGACTCAGACAATGAGCCCAAAGAGATCTGTAGGAATTCGTGCGGGCCGGGGTCAATACTGGAATTTTTCGGCAGAAAATCCCTCTCGGCTCTGTCTCCAGCCCTGACGCGCAGGCGGGTCTGCCCTGAGGTGGGCTGCAGCCTGACGCAGCTGCCAGGCAAAGGCCCCAGACGGGAACAGCCTGGTGGTGACTTCTGACGCCTTAGGCAGATCCAGCAGGCGCGGCCAGGTGTGGTCTCACGTCTCCAGAGCCCAAACCCGTCGCGGGTTACAACAAGCATCTCAGACTGTGCGTGGAGCCTAACGATGAGTTTGCAACTGTCTGCGCTGCTGCCGGGGGGGGGG